CCAGCTCAGCCCACCAGGGGGCGGGGCTGGCTGGCATGTGGTGCTGGGGGATTGAACCGCGGCCTCTGTGCTTTGCTAAGCTTGTTCTAAGTAGGTGCTTTAGACCACTGATCCATCTCACCAGCCCCAGAACGTTCTTAAAATCAAAGGACAGCAGGAGCTTACTGCAGCATGAGTACTGAAATTTCAAGTCCTCCTGAGAGTCCTCCTCTCTGGAGAGTACTCACAAGATCTGCAAGATTTTAAATTGAGCCACCTTGCTTTAAGCCCCAGAAAAAGGAGCCATTCTATTTCACTTTTGTGTAAAAACTATGGAACAAATGTTCTGTAGTAGGCCTGATAGCAAGGACCAGATTTTGACAGCCCTGATGTAAGGAGCTTTACTTAAGGAAGCACTTACCTAAATGATTTAACTGGCACAGAAGCTTGTGACATATGCATCTCTAGGAGGTGACTGAGGAACAAACAGCCTCTTCCCTCAAACACAAGGGCACCGGAAGCTGAAGTCATCACCGTCCTCCAAGCCTTACAGCCACTGTGGAAATGGGTGAGGAGAGCCTCAAAACAGTCAAAAGTAGAAATTTCATTTACACAGCTCTTCCCCACTGAGGGATCTCTGTGAAGAGTGGAGACAATGACGCGTGCATATCCGTGCTTACAGCAGCACACTCCATAGCAGCTGAGTCTTGGAGCCACCCTGGATGTCCATCAGGAGAAGGAAAGGTGGAATCTATACACACGTCCTCTACCAAAGAGAAGTCATTTTGAGAAGAAGAATGTTCTTTGAGGTCATGCTAAGGGACCTAATTCAGACACAGAAACATAAATATCACAGGGTTTCTCTGTGATGTAGAAGAAAGTTAGAATGCAAAAGAGATTTAAAAAAAAGACAGATAACATTCACCAGGAGGAAAGAGCATTGGCCAATGGTAAGGAGACCAAAAGATGGATGACGATGGGAGCAGAAGGTAAGACTAAGGAAGAAGAATATAGCTCTCTCGATAACGTTCTCTATCTTATTCTGTCTATCTATCTGTCTATCTATCTATCTATCTATCTATCTATCTATCTATCATCTATATCCTTACTGGGAATGAAATTGTTATTCACCATAAACATGAACTAATAAGTAGACAGACTATATATCCCAGGATCCAGTCTAAGTTCCCCAAGTGGTCTACACCAGCATTCCCTTGAAAACCCGTAATGCTTTATTCCTTTCAGGCCCTCCACACCCAAATTCCTCAGAATATTGTAGCTCTATAAATTGGCCTAATAAAGTGCTGCAACCTGATCCTGAGACAAAGGAGCTCATTTAAAGAATTAAAAAAAAAAATGCTTATTAACATGTTACCAAAGGAAGGGCTAGTGAGACAGCTCAGCCAACTAAGCACCTGCTTAGACAAGTTCAGGGATTAGGTTTCGATCCCTGGCACCACATGCTGCTCCAGCCCCTGCCCAGGGCATGCTGAGCAGGCAAGGGAGTTCAGGCATGGTGTTGTGCACCTGTAATCCTAACCCTGGAGAAACTGAAAACAGGAGGATCACTACAAGTTTGAGCTGCATAGTGAGACTCTGCACAAATAAACAAACAAACCAAAAAGACTCCCCCCCCAAAAAAAAAAATGTTACCAGAGGAAAAAGTGGGCTCATTCCCATAAAATGGGCAGTCCCTTTTGGGAGTGATGGGCCACCTTTTCTTGGAGTTTCCACCAACTCAAGAGGAGCATGAATGTTTTCACTGACAGGAACTAATGCATCTCATCCCTCAATGGCCACACCCCACTTCCGAGTGTGCACTTTTACATTTCTGCCTGGTAAATCCTTCCCAGGCATCTCCCTGACATCTGAAACTTCCCTGTCTGGAACAGCAGTCAGTGTGAACATCCAACCTCTTCTGCAGGGTTATGTCTCATCTTTAGTCCCTCTCCCAGGTGGGACCTGCAGGACCAGTGGCCACTCAGGATAGGAAGTGCCCAAGCCTCTCCACCCCGCTCCCATGCACAGGAGTGGCCAGGTGGGAGTGGACATGGGTCATACTGGCTCAGCTCGTACTACAGGCTTCTGTGTCCTCCCTTCTAATTCTCTGCCCCTTCCTTCCCCTAGCCAGGTCAGCCTTCAGACTAGGGCAGAGAATCCCCTTTTGGTCACTTTCCTCCCTGGTGGGAGATGTGGAACTCTGGTGAGTGCGAATTCCAGACCCCTGGGGGTGGGGGGAGGAAGGGAGGCTTCTCTCATTCACAGTCACCTTGGCTGCCTTTTGTTGCCCCTCTACCTGAAGTAGTGAAAACAACAGGCAAAGAGGTCCCCAGGCTTTGCTGGGTGCATGGGTTGGGCGCCTGTGCTGTGGTGGTTTGTATAGCTGTGTGTGCCTCAGGGGACAGGTGAGGGTGGCATGGGAGAGAGTCCTGCAGGCTGCTTCCTTCCCCCAGCAAATCTGAGGCCTGGGCCTTGAGCCCTGTTCCCACAAAGTGACCTCATTCTAACTGCTGTGCAGCCACAAAACACTCACCTTCTGGCCCTGTGCCCTGCTGGCCATCCAGCCTTTCCTGCATCTTCCTCTTCAATTTAGGAGCCAAGAGTCACCCAGCCCAGCACTACCTCCAGCAACATGGAGCTGCATCTCCAATGAGTCCTGCAAAAAGAGTAAATAATCGCAGCACTCCTGAGTTTGAAGGAGGAGGGTTCCGGTTCAAGCCAACCCAGTCTGCAGAGAGAGGCCCTGTTTAAAAAAAGGAAAACAAAGCAAAGAACCAAACAAAAAAAGCCAGGCACAGAGGTGCAGGCCTGGAATCCCAACACTCTGGGAGGCTGAGGCAGGAGGATTGCATGTCCAAGCCCATACTGGGATACTAGTAGCTCAATAAGTTATTTTATTGTTGTCTCAAAATTGTAGAAAATATAAAATAAGGGCGGGATATGGAGCTCTGAGTAAAGGAAGTGATTTCATTCTCCCGTACAAAATAAAAGAAGGAAAAAAAACAAGAACAAACAATCTCTAGGTCAGGTCTTTTCTTGGCCTGTGTTGCCTCATCAGTATTTGTACCATGAAGTTTGTCTCTAAGTGTGAAAGGAAAGGCTGCTCCCAATTTGAGTTCTTGGTGTGAACTTCTTGTACATCTTGGAAAAAA